GCCAGGGAGTGCAGAGCCAGGCGAGGCCTTGGCCTGCTCCCAGGAGCCCACAGACCTGGATACGGAATAAGGGGAATCAGCACGATGAGGAGCTCACACCACCGGAGGTTCGGTCCATCACCGGCAGCCCTGACAAGATGCCATTTATGCCAGGCTGGCAGGGTCTGCTTGGACTGCAGAGGGAGCTGGGATGACAGCAGCAGAACCTCCCGGAGATCCTGCTTATCGCTCAGGGTCTGATAAGGCCGTGGGCAGGGCCAGGCAATCTGAGGCCCAGGGAGAGGGGGAGCTGGCTGTGGCGGCGGCGGCGGGCCGCTCCCCCTCCCCCCACCCCCACTTAATGCACAATATTGATCCGCGGCTCCTTCTCAGACATACCCTCCCCATAGGCCTGCCCTGGCATTGTCTCAGCAGTTCTGGGGGGCAGCCCTGCTGACATGGCCCCACGCCCAGACCCAGCTGGAGAGGTGGAGTGTGGGGAGGGTTAGCTACCCTCCCCCAGTGCTGTGCTGTGCCAGAGGCTTGTGCGGCTTCACAAGCAGCCCGGGCCACTAATACTGCTTGTGGGCTCCAGTTCTAGCCAGACAGCTGTGTGACCCTGGGTGGGCCACTCGCCCTCTCTGAACCTCATTAGCTGTACAGTGGGAATGGGGTCCTTGTGAGCACTGAATGGGATGACTAGAGTCAACTGCAGGTTCTCATGCCGCTATACTTATGGCCTCTCCTCGGGGCAAGGGGGCCAGGAATCTGCCCTCAGACTCCTGACGGCCCCACTTTTCCTTACCGGGGCTAACCACTCACCTGAAGCAGCTCTACATACCTTTTTTTTCTTTTTTTTTTTTTTAAGATTTTATTTATTTATTTGATAGATCACAAGTAGGCAGAGGTGGGGAGGGAAGCAGGCTCCCTGCTAAGTAGGGAGCCCAATTCAGGGCTCCATCCCAGGACCCTGGGATCATGACCTGAGCTGAAGACAGAGGCTTTAACCCACTGAGCCACCCGGGTACCCCTACATACTTTTTAAATTTTTTTTTTAAGATTTTATTATTTGAGAGAGAGAAAGCATGGGGGGGAGGGGAAGAGGGAGGAAACAGACTCCCCACTGAACAAGGAGCCCCTGAGATCATGACCTGAGCTAAAGGCAGCCACTTAACCTACTGAGCCACCAGGGACCCCACATCTGTACGTACTTATGGGATGGCAGCCCAGGAAAGAAATGGCTAGAAGAACCGGGGTAGGTGGGGTCTCTCTGGATGGTCCCTGGAGATCTCTTCAGAACCTTCCCTGCCTCCCACGAACAGTGGCTCTCATAGAGCAGCTCCCCCTACTTTGCTGCTTCCTGACTGGGCTGTGCCACAGTTTACCCACCTATGAGACTGGGTAACGAGGAAGAAAAGGAGGCTACTTTTGTAAAGGACAGAGTTTACAGTCACCAGTAAGAACAGCAGGGGCTTGAACACAGTCCCTCCCCAAGTTCGAGACTTTGGGAATCACGACTCCCTTTTGGTCTGTGGCAGCAGAGCACATCAGCAAGCTGGGGCTTCAGGGGTTCAGGCAGCCCCTGTCACAAGCCTGTGCACCCCAATCCCGTGCTCTTTTCCCTCCACGTCCTCACCTCCTAGGTTTGTCAGCCTTGGTTCTGGCAGGAGGGTAGAGAGAAAAACCCTCCCAGGGATGGGAAGAGCCCGCACAGTCCTACCAGTGGTGCAGACTGATGGGCACTTGGCAATCAGCCCTGAGCACAAGTTTGCCAGAGTCAGGCAGGCTCCAGCAGCTTTTGTGCCCCATTCTCTGGGAATCGGCTGCTCGGGGGCCCAGGCCACGTATCTGCCCCCTGCTGTCACGTGCCATTGCTCCCCGGCCTGGCTTCTCATCCTGGTCATGGGCCAAGGGCATTGGTCACCAGGAGACTGAGGACTCAAGGGTGGGCTGATTATGAGATAGAAGTTCTTGGCCTCCCTGAGACCCCAAGGGTAGTTGTCTGTGGGGAGGAGGGTCCACAGGCACCCATGGGACCTTCCTGTCGGCCCCTGAGCTGCCCCCAGGAGTGAAGGGCCCCATCTGCTGGGCTGGGCTCTGGAGCTCTTCACTGCAGACGGGCCCAGCTCCCCTCCCTTCCTCTCCCCAGGGCCCCAGTCTGAGCCTCCCCTGCCTGCCCTCCCCCTGTCACTGCAGACACCACTAATCAGCCCCTTGGTGGCCCGTGATTGCGCTCCCTGAGATATTTTTACCTTATGCAAATAGGCAATGTACGGGTGCCCTCCTCCCTCAGCAGGCGGCTCCGCCTCTCCCCCCTCCTCTTCTCATTGCCAGAGCTGGCCTGGCATCACCGCCTGGCCTTCCGGGTCTGCCCCAGCGTCTTGGGGAAACTGCCCATTACGGGCAGTGGGCTTCCCACCCTGCCCCTTCCATACACTTAGAGCCTCAGGAGAGGTTTCCTGTGCTTGGGAAGAACAGGGAAGGAGACCTTGGCCAGAGAGGGGAGGAGGGTCACTGGGGGGGGTGTGTGCCCCCAGCACGCCTGCTTCCCACTGCTGCTCTGTCCTTACCTGAGGCTGCCTGGCACTCAGGCCCTTCAATTCTTGGGAGAGGCAAAACGCTGCTGTTCCAGGGACAACCCGACAGGCCTCCATCATTAATAATACACTTACTGAGCCCCTTTCCCTACCCGGCACCCTGCCACGCAGGAGTGTGGACCCCCAGCGAACCCTCCCAGAAATCTGGGTGATGAGGCAGGTCCTGGTCAGGCCCACCCTGGAAGTGGGATTTTTACCTCTGCAAGTTCCTCCTCCCCAGTGCTTCTTGGAGGCCCGCGCCTGGGGTCAGCCAGCCAGCTGAGCCCTACAGGCGCCTCCAGCTCCTCACTGTCCCAGGGCGGTGGAGCGGCTCCAGGACAGACACTCCCCCCTGAATGCCCGGGGCTCTGCGGTCAGCTCCTGCCTCCTCTTCTATCTGATGCGGTTTTCATTAAATGCAGCACTTACTTGATGAGTTTGATTTTTTTTTTTTTTTAACAGCACTAACTTGTAGCCTCTTTATGCACCTGGAAATAAATAAAAACGTGGCGGTCTTAAAAAAAAAAAAAATTTAGTCTGATGACAGCCTAAAGCACAGGAGGCATACAGCCACACCTCAGAGGTGTCTGGGCCAGAATCTGTCCCCCACTCTGTCACTGGAGCTGATGGTTATTTCCAAGCTCCGTGTCCCTGCCTCCTTGTTCAGTGGCCATTTCCTAGGGCCTGGGAGGCCTGGAAGCTGGGGCTGGGCATCTGTCCATGCCACCCTCTTTGGCTCAGCAGCCGCTCCATCCAGCGCCGCCACCTACGCACCACTGAGCCGGCTGTGGGGACCACCCAGTCATGTCGGGGGGATGGCAGGTGGCACTGAGGGAGCAAGTCCTTGAGTTAGATTTGATGCTGGTGGCAGACAGACATGGGCGTGGCCCTGGCCAGCTGACACAGGGCTGTTGGTCCATGGCAACCACCATATCTGGCCATCATCCTCCCTTCTGGGACTTCGATGTGCAGCCTTAACCTTCCAGAGCCTCACAGAGAGCAGGCCGCAGGTGCCCTCACCCTGGCGGCCTCCAGAGACCCAGGGCGGGCCAGGAAAGGTATGAAGGACATTTCCATGGGGCCAAAGCCCACAGCAGTCCCTGGCCTCTGTGTTCACCAGCAGCCTCGCGTGGTGGTCACCATGTTCTCACGGCCAGGATGAATTCTTAGCACAGTTCAGCTTGGCTCCTCGGGGATCCCATCCTCCAGTTGTGACTGTGATGGGCATGTCTGCTCACAGACTTGCAGGCGTGAATCCCTCCCTCTGTGGGAACACCTGGTCTCCCCGGGAGCCTGGAAGCCCCTGGAGGTCTGCACACACTCTCGAGGTCCTCCACAACCTCCAACTGGCGGTGTCTGGCACAGAGAGGGCGCCACAGAAACACATGGCAGGAGGTGGGGGTGGGTGGATGGATGGACAGATGGATAGATGGAGGAAAAGACATTCTAGAAGGCTGTGGAAGGGGATGGGCACCCCTGTTGTGTGCCAGCTGCTTTTCCCAGGGCTGCCCCGTTGCTACCTGAGAAAACTCAGTCCTGGTGAAAACAAAGTGTTTGTGGCAAAGCAGGGACTGAACTTCGGGTCTCCTGTCTCACCCTGCTGGGCCCGGGTGGGCTGCCTGAATCCATCTGCTCTTCTTCTGGGGCTTACGATCTCCAGGGGAGCAGCACCAAGGGGCCAGTTTTCCTACTTGGTGCGACTTCAAGAGGTTCTGAACTCCTCAGGGTCCCCAGTGGTCTACCAGGAGTAGTAGGCGGCTGCCCTGGAGCAGCCGGTACAATGATAAGGACAGCTACTGTGGACTGTCCTCATGGACGCGGTTTCCATCCTAACAGGGGAAGACAGACAAACACCGGAAGTGGAATATATAATGTGTTAGACGACAAGTACAGGGAAGGACAAGAGGGGATCCAGGGCACGCAGATGGGGGGGGTCTTTTTTTAACATTGTGCTGTCAGAGACTACCCCTTCAACAAAGTGAGGTGAAAGCAGAGACTGAGGAAAATAGGGTGGGAGCCATACAGATGTCTGAGAGAGAGCGTTTGGGCAGCAAGAACAGCGCGTGCAAAGGCCCTGAGGCAGCAGTGTGACCATCTGGGGGCGGGTGGGAGGAGTGAGGGCTGAGGGTTGAGGGCTGAGGCAGGGGCAGGTAAGGAGGGCCTGGCAGCTCTCGTAAGAACTGGCTTTTCCTCTGAGCTGGAAAGTCTTTGAAGGATTCTAAGCAGAAGCGGAAGATTGACCAGACCTGACTGTAAAGGCCTTTTGTTCTGCTCTTGCGTGAGAACAGACTGTAGGAAGTGGGAATGGAGAGAGCAGTCCAGAGGCTCACACGGTCCCTGCAGCAGGAGGGGGTGGCGGCCACGGTGGGCGGACGTGGGATGCAGGCTGTGTTTAGAGGTAGCAACGCTAGACATGCTGACCCAGGGGTGGCCTCTTCTTTGCAGAACTGGCTGAGGCTCTACGGCTACCTGCCCCAGCCGAGCCGTCACATGTCCACCATGCGCTCCGCCCAGATGCTGGCCTCGGCCCTGGCTGAGATGCAGCGCTTCTATGGGATTCCCGTCACGGGCGTGCTCGACGAAGAAACCCAGGCGTGAGTGCCTCCGCCGGGCCCTCCTCCTGGCCTGCTCTGACAGGGGTTTGGCAGGTGGAGTTTCCAGAACCGAGTGGCCTAGATAAGAAATGGCGATTGGTCTGGTTTTCCCTGCTCGTTCTGATTGCCTGGGCAAGCCTGCCTGAAGCTCTGTGTCCAGAAAGCTGAGGTGACTCGGGCTGGGCAGCAAGGAGCACGGGATTAGTGATGCCTGCCACAGGCACGGGGATGGGGAGGAGCACGGGGGCCCTGGCTGGGGCATCCTCGCTAGGCCTCGGCTCTGCGCTGAACCTGACAAAGGTGACAGGACCCAAAGTCACATTCTTGAGCATGCACCGAGCATAATGTATCACGGACACGGGGCCTCGGGGGTAACTCTCCCATTCCTGGGTGATACCAGTGAGAAGGGGATCACCTTGGTGGAGTCCCCTCTGGGCACTCGGTCTTCCCGTCTGAGGTCAACCTGCCTGCTTTTCTGATGAGGAAACTGAAGTGCAGAGATTGTCCTCCCCACCCCCACCCCCCACCCCCGTACAGAGGCAGCTGGAGGCCAAAGGCAAAAGGGTGGTAGAAGAAGGCGGACTGCCTGGAAGACGCAGAGCCCACACAGACAGGCACAGGGAGGAAGGCTTCGGGCTTACCCCTCCGTATCCGTGACGCAGGTGGATGAAGAGACCCCGCTGTGGGGTGCCAGACCAGTTTGGGGTGCGCGTGAAAGCCAACCTGCGACGGCGGCGGAAGCGCTATGCCCTCACGGGGAGGAAGTGGAACAACCACCACCTGACCTTCAGGTAGGCACCGAGGCTCAGCCCTCCCACAACACCGGCCGGAGACTGCTCGCTCCTCTCCCCATGCTGGCTGAGGCCTCGGGCTTCATAGTGCGCTTGTCTGGAAGGCTTCCTTTCCCAGAAGCCCACCCCAGGGTGCCCAGCATAGACCATCCGACCTGCTCCCACGCTGACAAGATCAGCCGCACTTCCTAGGCAGTCTTCCCCCCAGTGAAGGTCAGGACCCTTGGAGCGGCTTCCGCTCCGTCCTCCTTCCCTCCCGGATCCCCACCCCAACCCGCCAGCAGCGGGGGGCTGGCTGCAGAGCTGGGGGCCTCTGCGGTGCCTGGCACATGGGGCTTCAGGCATCTAAGGGGTGGGGGGGGTGGCAAGGTGTTGGAATCTGGCATCTGCCAAGTGGGCAGCAGCAAGTCCCCTACAAAAACCCTGATCTGCGCACCCTTCTTTGGCGAGAAGCCCCCTCTGAGCTCTAAGCCACGGAGCAGTCCCCAAGGACTCCTCTTCGTGTTTCAGTCCAGCCACAACACCATTCACAGCTCTATCTCCCCCAGGCCCCCAGAGTGACGTCATGGCCCAACCAGCTTTTAATGGAGATCTGTCCAGCACACAGAAGCTTAATCTGATTTATGTGGGTGATACCAGGCCTCCTCCTGCCTTTATCACGTGCAGACTCAGGGGCCGCTCGCTTTCTCATCCTCCCAGCTCCCCAGGATAAGAGCACGACTCTCCTTTTCCCATTTTACAGATGCAGAACTGAAATACAGAAAGACGAAGTGACCTGCCCAAGGTCATGTAGGTCATGTCAGAGCCCGGCCTTGAACTCAGGACAGCCTGAGCCTGCAGTCCAATAATCAGAACCGCTTGGCCCGTGTTTTCTAAACCTCAGCCATTTGTCTCCAAACTGTCTAGTTCTTTCTCTTAGCTACAGAGCACCTGTTCTCTTATTTGCTTCATGGTTTTATTTAAGCGAATTGGACACTATACAACCTTACTTAATGATATCTCATGAACTCCCGGGTTTGACGTATTAGTTCTCTTTTCCAGATTCACATCAGAGTAAACTAATGGTTGATATTGACAGGCACTGTTGGTAAACCAGCTGAGAACTTAGGCATGTCTCTTGGGACCGTGTATCTTCACCCCCATCCAGTGGGTGCTAACAGTGGACAGTGGAATCCAGTAGGCCCTGAGTTCACTCCCTTGTTTCCTGGCCCACCTGCAGCATCCAGAACTACACCGAGAAGCTGGGATGGTACCACTCACTGGAGGCAGTGAGAAGGGCCTTCCGTGTGTGGGAGCAGGCCACGCCTCTGGTCTTCCAGGAGGTGCCCTATGAGGACATCCGGCTGCGGCGGCAGAAGGAGGCTGACATCATGGTACTCTTTGCCTCCGGTTTCCACGGCGACAGCTCACCATTTGACGGCACAGGGGGCTTTCTGGCCCACGCCTATTTCCCTGGCCCTGGTCTGGGCGGAGATACCCATTTCGATGCAGATGAGCCCTGGACCTTCTCCAGCACTGACCTGCATGGTGAGGACACCTGGCCAGGGCAGGGCAGGGGAGGCAGAGGTGGCACTGGGCATTGCCCTCTGAGCCTGTTTAGCAGCTACAGGGTTGGGAGGGGAGAACTTCAGTTCTCTGGAGCACTGACCCTCCATCTCAGTCAGTTGTCCCGTGATCTCTAAGGGATGGTAGGGAAGCAAAGGGATCATTGTACCCATTTCCCAGGTGGGGAAGCTTGAGCCCCAGCAGTCAGAGCAGCTCAGCCTCTCCTAAATTGGGAGAAGGGCCAGCTCTCTGATAGCCACAGAGCTGACTGTGCTGCCTGTCCCCACTACAGGGAACAGCCTCTTCCTGGTGGCAGTGCATGAGCTGGGCCATGCCCTAGGGTTGGAGCACTCTAGCAACCCCAGTGCCATCATGGCGCCCTTCTACCAGTGGATGGACACCGACAGCTTCCAGCTGCCCGAGGACGACCTCCGGGGCATCCAGCAGCTCTACGGTGAGTGGGCAGCATGGGTATGGCCCGGGGGCTCTGCACACCAGTTTTTGACTCCCCGCCCGACAAGGCATAGGTACCACCAGTAATCCTGTTTTGTAGATGAGGAAGCAGGCCCAGAGAGCATTAGTGACTTGTCCACATCACTCAGTGAGTAACTGATGGGGCGAAATCACACCCAGGGCTGGGTAGCTCCAGGCCCTGGGCCCTCATGGTGACTCCAGGCTGAGATCCCCAAAGCCCCTCATTGACCCCTCTTTCCTCTTCAGGGTCAATGGTATTCTTATTAGACTGGGCATGCCCCTGCAGTCCCAGACCCCATTCTTCCCCGTTTGCTCCCAATCCCAGCCTGTCCCAGGTTCTCCAGGCAGTGTTGTTGGCTTTTCACTGCCCAGTGGCTTGAGGCAGGTGACACCCCCTCCACCCAGGCCTCACCCGAGAAGGTCTCCAGTGGTAAGGTCTCCTGAGGACCAGTTCTGTGGGTCAGAGCCTATGCTCAGTGCCCCACTGAGCCCCTTTTTAGGGCTGGCAGTGTTGGCCCTGCTGGGGAGGTGACAGACACTCCTTTACAGACATCCCGGCAAACTGGCAAAGAGATGGGCCCTTGGCAGAGGTCACAGAGCCATGTTCTTGCCTCTGCATGTGTCCCCTACTTCCTGGTCCACTGAAGCAGGCTAGTGCCCTGAGGGGAATGTCCGCAAGGGAACATGGACTCGGGCAGCCTCAGGGACACAGTGACCCATGTCCAGTGTGGGGAGGTCGAGGAGGGGGCTGTATGGAGGAGGATAGAGGTCCTGAGTGTGATGGCTGGTGTAAGGGAGGAGTCTTCTGTGAAGAGACGGGGACTTGCACCTGACTAAGCCTACCACCAAGGCAAATGTCCCTCTGGGCTGGGGACCCCAGGGTCCCCTGGTTCTAAGTAGGAGAACCTGGCATTCAGGCTGGGTTCTGGGGCTACCTGCTGACTTCCCATTTCCCCCACCCTGCTCTGCAGGCACCCCGGATGGCCAGCCACAGCCCACCCGGCCTCTGCCCACTGTGACTCCCCGGCGACCAGGCCGGCCAGATCATCGGCCCCCCAGACCCCCCCAGCCACCACCCCCAGGTGGGAAGCCGGAGCGGCCCCCAAAGCCAGGCCCCCCAGCCCAGCCCCGAGCCACGGAACGGCCTGACCAGTATGGCCCCAACATCTGCGACGGGGACTTTGACACAGTAGCCATGCTGCGCGGGGAGATGTTCGTGTTCAAGGTCTGGCCCCTGTCCATGCCTCCCTAGCCCCTTGGCCCCATCTCAGAGCAGGAGGGCAAGCCCTACATCCCATTCCAGGAGCCTTTCCTCACTTGGCTGCCCAGACACCCCCACCCCTCCTTCACTGAGCAGCCTATGGGGAGCCATCAGACCCTAGACCAAGAAGACACCAGCCTGAGGGACAAGGGGCTTGGCCAGGGTGACACAGACATGCAAGGGCCTGTGCCCCACCCAAGGATCCCTTGCCAGGGCTGCCCTGGTCTTCTGAGCTACCCCTCCAGATCTCCCTGACTGGGAAGGGGTGGATCAAGGAGAGGCCTCTCCCAGGATGAGGCTTGCTCTGCCCACTCACACACACGCCCTCCCCAGGGCCGCTGGTTCTGGCGGGTTCGGCACAACCGTGTCTTGGACAACTATCCCATGCCCATCGGGCACTTCTGGCGTGGCCTGCCCAGTGACATCAGTGCTGCCTATGAGCGCCAAGATGGACGTTTTGTCTTCTTTAAAGGTAGGTTTCGGTAGTGGGAGCCCTGGGCACCCTTCCTGCCCTGGCCTGGCCTCCAACCCAATGGGCCCGAGGGAGGAGGAGAGCAAAGGGCTACGTTTCACCTGTCATCCTATTGTCCACTGTGGGGGAGATGCATCAAGGCCAAGGGCGGGGTGGGGGAAGGTAGATGGAAACCAGGAGATACCTGAGGCCCTGGGGGCCAGAAGCTGCTCCGACTTGAGGCGAGCTGCCCATCCTCTGCAGCATGGGGATTCCGCATCGGTTCCCTCCTTCCTTGCCTCTTCTGCCTCCAGCAGCCCCTCCTCATAAGAACAGATCCCCCGAGCCCAGGGCAGGATTTCTGGGGTCTGCCGGCAGGGACAATGGAGCTCCCTACAGCCAGCCCTTCCTTTGGGGCCTGCTGCCCTGGGGAGGGCCTCCAGGGCAGTACACCCTGATGAATGAGCTGTGTCCCCAGCCCCCCCTGCCAGCCTGAGCCCACGCTAAAAGCCCCTGAGAGGCCAGACAGGGCTCCCCCTCTTCCTCTCTCTGTACAAGAACTGTTTATGGGGGTGGGATGGATGTTCACACGGGAATACAGGCCATTTACAGTGTGACAGGTGTGTGCACAAATATGAGTGACTTGTACATGTGTAAGTATGTCGCAGGTGCCCATGAGTTCCAAGTGCATGTACACACAAGTGAGTTGCATTGTGTGTTACCTTGGGTGTGTATAGGGGTCAGTGCCTATCCTGTGTAAAAGGATGTGTATGATTGTGCGGTATATGTGTGTACATGCGTGTGTCATATGTGTGCGGTGAGTGTGGCTGTGGATGTGAATGGATTTGTGGTCCCAGGATAGCACGCCCCATGTCCCCTCCCCACGCATGCCCCCCAGCCCCCCTCCTGTCCTCACCCACCTCCCCCTCCCTCAGGTGACCGCTACTGGCTCTTCCGAGAAGCAAACCTGGAGCCTGGCTACCCTCAGCCACTGACCAGCTATGGCCTGGGCATCCCCTATGACCGCATTGACACGGCCATCTGGTGGGAACCCACAGGTCACACCTTCTTCTTCCAGGAGGACAGGTGAGCACCCCCTTCCCTAAAGGGAGAAGGCTCCAGTCCAACCCCCCCCCACCCAGAAAGAACCCACAGCCTGGTGCTTTTGGTCCCAGGTACTGGCGCTTCAATGAGGAGACGCAGCGTGGAGACCCCGGCTACCCCAAGCCCATCAGTGTCTGGCAAGGGATCCCTACTTCCCCCAAAGGGGCCTTCCTGAGCAACGATGCAGGTATCGGGGCCCACCCCCTGCAGCCTGCCTAGCACTCACCATCCCCCCTTCTCCACACCCAGGACTCACCAGCATTGCAATGGCTGGTATGGGGGACACTGCTGTGGCAGGCCCCAGGCTGGGGGCTTCCAGAGCGTGACTCTCTTGACCCTTCCTGCATTGTCTCCAAACCCTTTTTACACAGTCAAACTAATCCATAGAATCTAAGGGCCCCAAGTCCCTCTGCAAGGGAGTTGGAGAATCGAGTCCAACCGGGGTCTGCCTGTGTCCAGAACTGGCTCTCGGAATGGCCTTGCTCCCTACAGAGTCCAGCTAGGCCTGGGCAGCCCACAGGGAGCTTGAAGTGTGTGTGGCGGGGGTGAGCTTGGCTCAGGGCGATGGAAGGCTAGGGTCCTCCCAGGATGCCCACTTTCCCGCCTGGAAGGAAGCCTGACCTCTGTCACTATAACTGAGCAACAGGGAGGGAACTGCGGCTTTTATTTCTCCAGTGGGGTCTCTGGAGATCTAGAGAAAAACCATTAGTCTTGGTTTCCCGGTTCCAGGTTCTTGGGCTCAGGGGAGACCCTGCTGGCTCTGCCGGAAAGCCAGTGCTTAGGCCAGGCACGTGGCATTTGTGTTATGATGGCATCACTCTGCAGCCACTCCGATCTCATTGTGTCCAGCAGAATATGGACTCACCCCTCATTCAGAACTCACCCTTCCTGGGGCTGATGGGATGTGGGCAAAGTGCCCAAGGCTGCAGAGCTTGTCCAAGGCAGCGCTGGGCTCTGTTCCAGCCCAAGGCTGCAGGCTGGCTGTGTGGCCTTGAGCAAGATACTGGCCTCTCTGGTATGGAATGAAGCCAGTCCTGGGACAGTATGGCAGGGCCCCCTGACTGTATGTACCCCAGGTGACCCAGCGGGCTGCAGGACCCTTCCATGTACCACCTGGGTCAATGTCAGTCCAGCCAGGAAGCAGGGGAAGCAGAGTGGGGCCCTTGACCCAAACCTGCCCCTCTCTGAGCCCCCGCCTGGCTCCTCTATGCTGGGAGCGGGCAGATTTGAAAATGCTCAGGCTGGCAGGTGAGAAGGAGGGTACTTTAAAGCCAGGGTGCCTCCAGCATGTCCTGGTCTTCTTTGAGGGTCTGGGGCTGGTGGTGGAGGTGCAGCCTGACATCGCTCATCCCTGCTTCCCCGCCCCGCAGCCTACACATACTTCTACAAGGGCACCAAGTACTGGAAGTTCGACAACGAGCGCCTGCGGATGGAGCCAGGCTACCCCAAATCCATCCTGCGGGACTTCATGGGCTGCCAAGAGCACATGGAGCCGGGACCCCGATGGCCCGACGTGGCTCGTCCGCCCTTCAACCCCGACGGGGATGCAGAGCCTGGGGCGGGCGGGGACAGCGAGGAGGGCGAGGAGGAGGGGGGCGAGGCCGGCGGTGCGGGGGACTTCGGGGATGGGATCGACACGGACGGGGGCAGCCGCGTGGTGGTACAGATGGAGGAGGTCACGCGGACGGTGAACATGGTGCTGGTGCTGGTGCCGCCCATGCTGCTGCTGCTGTGCGTCCTGGGGCTCACGTACGCGCTGGTGCAGATGCAGCGGAAGGGCGCGCCGCGCGTTCTACTCTACTGCAAGCGCTCCCTGCAGGAGTGGGTCTGAGCCGCAGCGCTGCCCTCCTGCTGCGCACGGTGCTAAGGGGGCCATGGCTGGCGGGACCCAGGCTTCTCCGACGGCTGGGTGGGGGTGCACCAAGCCAGAGCCTTCCAGGGCTCCCTCAGCCCCTGAGTGGGGGCCTCGCCAGGCCCTCCAACCTCCCTGCCAGCCCTGCCCCAGCCCTGCCCCGATGTTTATTTATGCCCAGCTTTTGTTGGGTTTTTTGTTTTTTGGGTTTTTTTTTTTTTGCACACTAATTGAGTATTTTTTTCTACTTTGCTGACCCGGAGCAGCGGTCCCTCAGGGCAGGGGTTAGAGCTTTCTACAAATAGTTCTGTTCGGGACAGGGAATGAGCCGGTTTCCCCGCCCCCCCCCGCCCCCCCCCAACAACACCTCTGCCTTGGCCACAGCCAGGGAAGCAGAGGGTCAGAAGGCCTGGCTGGAAAGTGGCTAAAAGGTTTCTGAGGTTCTTTCCCATCCTGGGCCCTCCTCAGCCTGAGCTGGCTTTGGAGACTGGTGGGGTCTGTGGTATCCACCCGCCCAGATCTTTGCCTTGGGAAGAGCTTTCCCCCAGGGGCAGCCCCAGGGCCCAGGGGACAGAAGGGTAAGATGGCCTACTGGCCATAAGTCATGTGGAGTTTTGAATCCTTCCCTGCTCACCCCTCTCAACCCGTTACCCAGGCTTCTCGTACCTAAGATGCCTACCCTGGCCCTACTCAGTCAAGGGGCCCATAGTCCCCAGTGCCCACACACTCCTTGAGCCTACAGAAGAGGCCCTGGACCTGCCTTACCAAGGACCAAAGGGGGTCTGCCAAGGCCTCTCCACCCAGGGACCTCACCCCCCAGGCTGGGCTTGCAGCCCCCGTCCACTCCTGTCTGAGCTATGACCCACCTGGGCTCCTTCCCTGGGCTTCCTCCCACTTTCCCTCACCCACACCACCGTCCTCAGGGGTCTGAGAATCCCACGAGCCTCAGGCACCAGCTGCCAGGCTCCCAGCTGTCCCAGGAGGACAGGGGGCTGCTGGGTACCCACAGCCCACCACGCATGCGACGTAAGGGTTCCTCCCCTCCAGCTCCCAGTCTCCCAGCGCACTGGGAAGAGGGACACTGGTGGACAGAGGCCAGCAGCTCTTTCCCTCACACAGACTTGTGGGATGCCGTTGCAGAGTCTCTAAAGGAGCCCACTGTGGCCTGCAGACTCCCCTTCTCCTTGGCTCAGCCCCAAGGGCAGGGACACTTCCTCCTCCTCCCTCCCAAAGTAAGCAGGAGGCAAGGCTGCTGTGGAAATGGTACTGTACAGCCGGCTCCGTCCCCTCTGCTTCCCCTCGGCCCTGAGCAAGCGGGTCTGCCACCCAGATCCCCGACTCTTGAGGGAGGGGTGTCTCGTGCGCTGGCCTGGAGCGTGGATCCAGCAGCTTGCTCCCCACTCCGTCCTCAGAACCGGAGAGCCAGCCAAGGGATGGAGGGCAGTGTCTACCCCCATACATTTCTTTCTGTAAATATTCTGCACTGATTAAATTGTACAGCCGGCAAGCGTGGCCTCCTTTGTAAGAGGCCCTGGGCCAGAGCCTATGGCTGGAGGGGTTGCGGGTGACAGGAGTGAGTCCAGGCTATGATGAGGGCACCTGCCCTCCATGCTGAAGAGACCTTGTTCCCGGTTCTACGGGGCCTCCTTCCCAGTGGCCCACTGGGAAGGCCAGAGCTCAGAGGAAGAGTGAGGGGTGGCTGCCCTCCACAGACCAGAGGCAGGTGGGGCAGGGGACCCGGGTTGACCCGGCTGAGGAGGGACAGAGAAAGAGTACAGAATTTACTGGACATTCATTCATGAATGTAAGGGCATCCCAGCTTCCTACAGCTCCCTACTCCAGGCCGGGCCCCCCCAGCCCTTCTTCCACCCATCTAGACTGGGTTCTGGGTGGCCTGAAGACCCAGCATGGAGGCAAGAGATGGAAAGTAGTACCACTTTGGATTTGGAAAGTTCCCCTTACTACATGCTCTGCTCCAAGAGGGGATGGGCACCCAAGATCTGCCCTGTCATCTTTGAAGAAGCAGGAAATCTCACCCTGGGCAACCTGCAGAGGAGAACCAGCAGAGCAGGAGACTGAAGCCTTACAGCCCCTGGGATCTGATGGGTATGGCTGGCAAGCCTTGGACCCCACACCATCCTCTGAGCCAAGCTAATAAGCACTGGCCTGCACCCCCCAGAAGTGCGATGGTCAGTTATAGTGGGGGTTCTACCCCAACCATGGAGCAGGCCAGGCCTCTACAACAGCTCAGAGCAGGGTCCTTCAACCTGTTCCAGGCCCCATCCTCCCCTCAGCAGCACACCTCCTCCCCAGCCCCCCTTGATCCCACCCTTTCCTCTCTTTGTGTTGAAAACTGGCTGAGGAGGGTAGGAAATGCTGGCCCTCAGAAGCCCCAGAGGCCTGTCAGGCTCCACTAGGAAATGGCCCACGAGCCCCCTCACCCCAGAGGCCTTGGTGGGCAGCATGGGGGTCCAGGGCGGACACTATCTCGTCAGTTGCTTGTGGCAGAAGCCACAGGGCTCCACCCAGGTCTGCCTGAAGCCTGAAGCCTTAGGGTCACCAGGCAAGTGGGGGCATAGGGACGAAAAAGGAGAGGCTGTGAGACCTCTCAGTGAGCTCTTCCTCAGAACCCAGGCCAGGGAAGAGACTTGGCACAGGAGGCTTCGGCTTCTCAGGAAATCACCTGAGGAGACTTCCACCCCCAAGCTTTCTGGTAAAACCTCAGAGCAACCCAGTGGCTGAAGGAACAGCTCATCTGGTGAGCCCATGGGTGTGAAGGTCTCTAAGGTTTGGGTGTCAGGCCTCAGCCCTGCCTCCCCCAGCCCCAGAGAGCCCTGCCTTGTGACTTGACACCACCCCCACCCCAAGGATTAATAGGAACCTGCATCTTTAAATTGGTTTTGTTTAATGTGACTGCATCTGAACTCACCATGGCCCCACAGCCCCCATCTTGCTAATTCCCCAGTAAGATAATTAAGACTTAACAGAAAGAAGCAAAATATAAGTCCTCTCCTACCCCAGGCCAGTGTTGACAGTATGGCATGTTTCTTCCAGACTTTTTTCCCTCGCATTTGCACAGCCTGCAGTTTTAGAGTGTAAGACATGCTGGGCTTCGACCCGATGCCCCAGGTGCTTACATTTCAGCAGAGTGGGCAACTCAACCTGCCGCATGGACTGCTGGGAGGATGGACAGAGGATGGGCAGCTGTACAGCGCTGGTCACACTCCCTGGGACGTAGTACGTGCTCAATGGGCGATCGCCACGCCCATCAACTTGCACACTTAATGAGAAAAGTGGGCCTCAGAGAGGTCAAGGACTTTGCAAGGTCACACAGTTAGGACATGGCCCTGCTGGGAGAAGCACCCAGACAGATTGACTTGCACAGCTGCTCAGCTCCAGCTCACCCTGGTGCTGCTGGAGAATAGTGACAGCCATGAGGAGGCCCCTGCCCACCCTGGTCTTCCCTCCCCACACATTCTAGGCATCGAAGACCCCAGGGCCACCAACAGAGCCCCCTTTCAGGCTGGGGCAGGGGCCAAGCTGGCTGCTCCCTCCCCCTCCGACTTGGCAGAAAAGCCTTTTTGTTGTGGCTCACACAGAGGCCATTCTCTGGCTCACGGGCCGGAATGGCCAGCTTCCTGTCCATCCACAGCCTCCCAGACAGCAGTGGACTCCTCCACGTCAGTCTGAGAGGAACGGCTTTCTATGCCTCCACAACATCCAGTCCTGCTTCTGGGGCCCAAGGCTGACAGGATTTACCCTCCAACTTGTAAAACCACATGACGGGGTAAGGGTCAGCCACCCCTCGGCTCTCCCAGAAAATGCCAGAGATTCCAGGTCTCAAGGCACTTTCAGGGCAGAGTAGTACCACCCTTGCCCCACTGCTCAAGTGGCCTTGTGACCCACAAAGCACTGGTAGAGGCCCCTGCCCGACTGCTTGCCTTGTCTCAACTGTCCCTTGCCCTGGCTTGCCTCTATGCCTTTGTCTATGCTGTTCCCTCCTCCCAGAAAACCTTTCCCTGCACATTTCATGCTGTTTCAATTGTATAGATCCCTCAAGGCCCAGGTGAAGGCTTGCCTTTTCCAGATTCCCACCCTCCCTCCTCAAGACAGCTGATTTTCCTTTTTCCTCCAACTCAACCACCCCTCATGTCCTGACTATTGTCTCCAAGCCTAGCCCACCCATCCTTTTTTTTTTTTTTTAATTTAAATTCTAGTTAGTTAACACACAGTGCAATATTGGTTTCAGGAGTTGAATTCTGCGATTCATCACTTACACCCAGTGCTCATCCCAGCAAGTGCCCTCCTTAATGCCCATCACCCCTTTAGCCCATCCCCCGCCCACTTCCCAGCAACCCTCAGTTTGTTCTCTGTCATTAAGAGTCTCTAGGGCTTGTTTCCCTCACTCTCCTTTTTTTTTTTCCCCTTTCCCATATGTTCATCTGTTTTCTTTCTTAAATTCCACATATGAGTGAGATCATATGGTAATTGTCTTTCTCTGACTGACTTATCTTCACTTAGCGTAATACACTCTAGCTCCGTCCACATCATTGCAAATGGTAGCCCGCCCATCCCTACAGGCACCCAGTTGCAAACCATGACTCCACTGCTCATGAGCCGTGTGTCCTTGGGCAGGCACTACTTGTCTCTGAGCCCAGATTCCCCATCTGTGGAATGGGGCTAACATGCATATCTCACACGCTTTTGAGGCTTGACAGAGTGAAGCCTTGTAAACACTTAGAACAGCTCCTGGCCCATGTCAGACTCTAAACAGTTTGTTACTAATATCTCTATCTTAGGTGCCGGTGTACCTGATGGGCCCAAGCAGGCTCCCCTCCCTCCTTGCCTTTCTCTCCAGGACTGGTGGTGGGGCAGGTCAAAGGTCAAGGAGCCTGGGGGCAGGTGCCAGGAGGAGGGACATTCCAGTCCCACTAGCTCCTCTCCCAGCTGCCAAAACCCCTCCTCAGCCTCCCTCAGCACCAGCCCTTCTTCCCAGACCCTGACTCGGGTTTCTCTCCTGGGGCCCCTGACACCTCCCACCCCCACATTGTTCACCCACCTCAGTCTGCCAGAAATAGCCTCCAAACTCCCCTTCATTTCCAGCCGGGCTAAAACGCCCCTCCTGGAAAAAACGATTATCAGTCCCCTGCCAGCATGGATCACAGCAATAAACTGGATTCCATTAAGAAATCATTCTGAGTCACTGGAAA